TCTCAGAACTCACTTTGGAATTTCTATCAAATGCAAAGCAACCCGTGTTTGTCCAGAGTTGACAGAATTATTAATTGTTGAGAGGATTATTGGAGCAAGTTATTCACCTGGGTTAAATAAACTCAGATTAAATACCATCAAAGTAAAAGTCCTTGCATGCACCAGCTCATTTCATTGCATTGAAATGGTCTGTTATTTATACTAAGCTCTTCAAATGCAAGTAAAACATATACAGAACGAATCTGGCATCTTAGGTCATCATAACCATGTCTTGAACTTTAAGGCGTGACGTTGTAAGCATTTCTTTTTACATAAAGAATAGAAGGGATTTAAATTTAATTAATGGAATTAATAAAAATAAAGAAAAATAGTCAAAGTAAAATAAATTAAATGTATTGTAAAGTAATGCCTTTGAGCTAATTGCAAATAACATGCACGCATTCACTCGTAAAAGGTTACCAAAATGCAAATTCTGTCATCATTTACTCACCCTTATGTTGTTCTAAACCCATAAGACATTCATTCATCTTCGGATCACAAAAGATATTTTTTTATGAATCCTGAGAGGTTTCTGCCCCTCCATTGAAACTAAGTTCATCTAAAAGTTTCAAGCTTCAAAATGTTCTGAAAAACAATGTAAAAGTAATCCAGGTGACTTCAGTGGTAATGTTAAGTCCTTATTGCCTAAATATCTTTACTTCCAAATGGCATCCAAAGAAAATTGTCATTTTTGGGGTGGACTAACCCTTTAATGTGTCAAAAAGGGCTTTGTTTATGTTTCTTTTCTTTACATGAATCACAAATAATAGACTATTTTCAATTCCAAAACAAATAGAATAGAATAGTTTGCATCACTGGATGTCACTCTCAGTCATTTGACATTTTCTATCCCAACATATTTGTAAAATGTTAAATGTTTTGCTACTTCTTACCTCACAAAATTAAATGTTGTGCTGAAATTCATGTTCAGCTTCTGTGAACAATAAACTCCGTCTACTTTGATTTAATTGGCCATTTTAAACATTTTGTCATTGATGAGTGTTGTTGACTGCTGAGGTGGAGCAGCCTAAAAATGTAACTTTTTAATCATGCCAACTACTAACCCTAACCTAGAAAGTTGCAAAGCTATTTACAGTCAACAGAATTTCTAAAGGGGACCATCAAAATAAAGTGTAACCTCTAACAACAAACAGAGCAGCATATCTTGAATATCATGTTTAGTCCCTGAAAAAATCAACTTGAATTTAAAATGATGCCAGTTTACATGAATGTAAAGCTATAACGCCTCTTATGTCATTACCAGTGGGGCCACATTTCCTTTCCTCACACATCAGAGGTTAAAGTGGACGGGAACTCCTCCTGCCTCTGGTGGGTGAGTACGGACAGAGCAGAACGGCAAAACAAAATGAGATAGAGGGGGAAAAGAGGAAGGTAAGAGGAGAAGAGAAGGAAATATGAAATATATCATGGCCATCATTGGGGTGGGTGTCATGTTTTCGATTAGTTTAACAGTAAATCTCATCTGGTTTCCCTATATGGCTATGAAGAGTAATTCATGGAATGGGAAAATCGTGAGAGTATATGCTAGGACTGAAAATACATGTAAAAAAAAAGTATAAAGTTTATTGAGCGAGCAGATGGTGACAGTCAAACAACAGAGCATCCCGAGGGATTAAGAAGAAATATTTCCAGTGACATTTGAGGGTTGCATTCGGTTATATGTAATTTTCCTGCCGGCCACAAGCCAGAAACAGCACTCCACAACAGAGAGGAATAGTTTGTGAATAAATTCTCACAGATCTGCACAAGGACATTGCGGTCAATAAATAAATAAATTAATTCAGGATGCCCCACCCGTGTCGGAATGCAGAAGACTCTCCCAACTCTGAGGGCGATGACATTTCTCTCTCTCTGAACCGTTTCAAACAGTGACTGTGAACATCAACTGAGAGCAAGTCTACAGGAAGCTCCTCATTTTTATCATCCAACAGTAGTCTATGCCCCACCCGTGTCGGAATGCAGAAGACTCTCCCAACTCTGAGGGCGATGACATTTCTCTCTCTCTGAACCGTTTCAAACAGTGACTGTGAACATCAACTGAGAGCAAGTCTACAGGAAGCTCCTCATTTTTATCATCCAACAGTAGTCTTGCTCTTTTTCCTTCCTTTTTATTTCTAGACAAACTCCCTCACTCAGCCAACCGTTCTTTTCAGCAACAGACTCGTTGACCAAAAATGGGTTGCACGTCTGTTCTAATATGGCAAGGATAATGCATTTAGGAACAACTCTTGAAGAAAACTCTTCCCATATCTAGACTGTGCATCAAATCCAACTTTATGGGATTTTGCAACAAGTTCATCTGTCAGGTAGTTGGAACTAGTCAGATTAGGTTAGGACAGGTTAGACAGGTTGCGTGATATGCCGTTATCCAGAAAACCATGACAATGTAAACTCTGACTATAATAAATGTGGTTTCACTTGCAGTGGATATAATTTGCGGTGCCCACAATGTTTTGTGCAGTGAATCACTGGAAGCAGAGAGCATGAAATGATTTCCAATTTAGACATGTTAATATTTTTGCATATTGTTGTGTCTGTGCAATTTATATAGAGAGCTATAAAAATTACAAAAATATTTTTGTTTGTGTGTTTATTATCATTTTAGACATAAACGACATTAACATTAAATTTAGATACTTTTTTTTATGGAGGTGAAATTACCAATAGATATTACGATTTGAGTTTTCAAATTCAAAAACTGAATGGAAAAATGGAAAATTGTTTAAAAGTCGCATCTCAAATTCAAATCTGTCATTTTCTTGTTCTATATTCACGTTAATGAATTTCAATGTCTGATTTTTTTTATTGAGTTGCCACTTGACGTCCAATGTAAAATCTGTATCATACAGTCCTATGCCATAGAAAATTCTGGAAAGTAGTGTCCTTGCATGGGCGAACCGGTTTCTCTGTATTTGAGTGTGTGTGTGTGTGTGTGTGTGTGTGTGTGTGTGTGTGTGTGTGTGTG